GATAGTAGTATTTATAGTACTTCTTTGTATAACTTTAATAGTTACTTGATTAAATTTTATAAAATTTCAGTAGCAGTGAATTAATTATGATATAAAACTCACGGAAATTGTGTAACTTGGAAATTGAAATAAAGGGTTATTAGATATTTATAATTGTAAAATAAATTAGACTTTTAAAAATGTGACGGTTATTTTTTTTTTAAATGCTAAAAAATAATTTAAAAATTTTTTCATTATTTGTGTGCAAATATATAGGTAAAAATACAAATATTTGGGTGAACCCAAATAGTGCTAAAAACCCCAAATACCCAAATAACAAATAATTGGTTTGGGCATCGCTAGTTAGGTTTAAGGTTATATAATATGGCTTCATTAATTGTTTTGCGTAAAACGTGACTCGTTTTTTACTAACTTACTAAAGTAGGGTGCCTGAAATCAACGTCCGCTAGGCAGCGTATAACTATTTTTTAAATATATTGTCATACAATAATATATTAACGATAACGAAACGATATTTCGCTGACCTATTGTAGTCAGAGTCATCATGAAAAAAAAGTTACTAAATAACACAAAACAAACAGTTTAAAAAATATTAAAACAAGTAAAAAAATAAAATGCTGCCTTTTTATTGAAATCACTTTTATGTTTTTAAACATATTGTATTACAAAAATATGACTTTTAAAGGGGTTATCACTTCTCTTTTACCGTAAAGAGATTTTTTTTTTAAAGAAAGTTAATTTTTGAATTAAATTTATTGTTCATAATCATTAGATCTCAAATAAGATCTAATGATTATTAACAGTGACGGATCCAGCATATTTTGCCATTTGAGCTAACTTCAAACATGGAGCAAACATTTGTGTGTTTATACTTATGTAAAATAAAGATACTTTGCTAAAAATTGCGATGATTAGAAGCTGGGAACAAAAAAGCCCTAAAATTTCATCCCCCACCCCAAACATGAGGTCAAAAAATTGATAAAATATCTTTTGAACTATTTTCAAGTAGACTCAGGGCCGGCGCAAAGGCCATGCGAGTTATGCAGTCGCATAGGGCGCTGGCGTGGCTGGGGCGCCGCGCTGGCGCAGCCAACATTTTTTTTTTCTTTTTTTTTAATTTATAAAAATTTTAAATTTCAATTTAAAAAAAATAAACTTATATACATTTTTTAGCGTCCATAGTGTGTATATGTACTGAGTTGTTGTTTACATACTAGGGAAGCCAAACTTTATATGTTAGACTAATGATTTTTTACATTTTTTCTCAGCACTTTAATGAAAAAATAATTAGATCAAGGATAGTAGTTATTTATTTTTTTGAAAGTATAAGTTTGTGAGTTAATTGTTAATTTAAATCATGTTAAATGTTTATTTAGTTGTAAAGTCAAATTAAGGGGCGCCAAAGTTTTACTTTAAATTATTGATTTTGTATGTAATTGCTTCTGCACTTCAATGAAAAAATAATTAGAGCAAAAAGTAGTAGTTAGTTAATTATTTGAAAGAATAAGATTTTGAGTCATCATGGCGGGAAAAAAAGAAACCTTTTTTTTTTTTTTTTTAATAGAAAACACAAGTCAGATATGAAGAGAAAGGATAAAAAACAAGCAAATACATTGATTAAATTTTTCTATAGAATGGAAGAGCAAGGTTTAAACGATAATCAGCATCAATTGCAGATAAGATACGATATAAAAGTGAATTTATTACAATTAACTTTATTAATAAATACAAAATAATAAGTTAAAAAGATAATAAAATATCTATTGAACTATTTTCAACTAAACTCAGGGCCGACGCAAGGGCCTTTGTTTAAGCCTTAATAACCATTTTTTTCTCTATTTTTATAATATTCTTTTCTTGATGTTCGGTGTTGGGTGTACTTTTAACCATAATTAAAATCATAATAAACGAAAAATAAAACAACTTGTACTCTAAGTGCAAAAAACACCAGAAGGAAATACACAATCTCAAGGTTTAAAACACATCAGGAGGAAATACACAATCTCAAGATTTAAAACACATCAGGAGGAAATACACAATCTCAAGGTTTAAAACACATCAGGAGGAAATACACAATCTCAAGGTTTAAAACACATCAGGAGGAAATGCACAATCTCAAGATTTAAAAGGCATTCGTGATGAAGCAGATGAAGCTAAATCTTTATTTGTACAAAAGCGCTTTAATTTACAACCAAGTACCTGTAAAAGTACGTCAATTTCATTTTTATTTAAAGCTCAGCCTTTTCTTAAAAAAAATAAAATGTATAAAAGTACAGTACAAAGTCTTGTTTTAAAACAAAAACTTTAGTTTTAACTCCTCTCTTTGTATTGAGCAATTCCTTGGTACTCAAGAAATAGCTTATCGTGGATAATGTGAAACAGTTTTTAAAGAAAACAGTAAAAACTTTTTAAAACTTTCTAAAACATTTTGAACACATTTCAAAATTTGACACTGTTCTTTCTGAACATCTTCGTCGGGTAACTGCCTAGAAAATCATGTACATTCTTTAAGCAAAAAAAATTCAAAATGAGTTTATTGGTCTTCTTTCCTGTAAAGTTATTGAGTTTATCTTGTGTGAACTGCAGAAAATTTTGTATTTTTCTATAAATCTTGGCTGAACTCCTGACGTAGTTTGTAAAAAACAAAAAATACATGTAGTTTGGTTTGTGTATGCAGTTGCAGGAAAAAAAGTAAAGGCGAGGGGACATTTTCTTGCATTTAATAATGTCTTAGAAACATCTGGGTAAGGGTTGACAGCTTGCTTATTAAACGAGCTTTTTAAAAAAGAACATTCATACAAAATATGCATGGCAATGGTTATGATAATAGATTAAACACGAAAGGAAAGAACGTAGGCGTAAAAAAAGGATCCTTGACCTTTGATCCATACGCTTTTTTTGTTTCTTGTGAAAGCCATTCACTAAAACTTGTTGTCAATAATGCGGAATTTTTTTGCACTCTAGCAGTTAACTTTTTCAGCAATATTCAGGAGATTTATAAATATTTTTCTGGACCCTTAAATGGAGTACATTAACAAATTATGTAAACAATTTAACTTTTTTTCCTCCAAGTAAAACCCGTTGGGAGAGCAGGATAGAAAAATTTTAAGAATGATGCTTTTGGAAAATGTATCGCTATGGGAATTGCCAAGAAAATTACATATTAATAAATTTCGTAGGGGGGCTAATCACCCTCCTACTCTTCTCTTCGGGACTCCTTTGCATCGATCTAAAGTCCTCTGATGAAATTGCAGTCAAGCCAAGAAAGATCAAAAAGCAATTTTACTATGAATGATGAATCTGTAAAGTCAGCAATTTTTAAAAATTTCGATTTTTGTAGTTTTAAACACTGCAATTGATGAATAATTTGAACAGATGGAAAATTACAGGAAATGTTTCGAATTCCTCTATAACATAAAAAATAAAAAATGTGAAACAGATGCAGTTAAAGAAAAGTGCAAAAACTTGCACTTTGTTGATGAGTTGACAGTTGATGGCAAGAGTGAGGTCAACAGGAATCAACTGTTAGGTGATATTATAATCTTAGCTCCAATGTTGCCGAACAATAAATATAACGATAGCTTCCTCAAAACAACATTGTCAATATTTTCAAAACTGCTTGATTGACTTCATTCCTGTGTGCGTAGTATTGAAAATTTTGCTTTGTTCCCCGTATCAGTGGGCAGCGGAGAAATTTAGAGTTTTTCTAAATTAACAATTTTTAAGAAACATTTATGCTAGTAACACTTATTCTATTTTTATTTAAAAACATATAAAAATTTAAACTCTCAAAATATTTTTTTAAAAATATTTTTAAGGTGGTAGACTGCTAAAAAAGTTAGAAAAAAACAATTTTTCATTAGTCGCATTATTTTAACCAGTAACTGCTGTAGAGTCTAAAAATATATAGATCTTCATATGAGGAAAAAATTATTTTAACCAGTAACTGCTGTAGAGTCTAAAAATCTTCATATGAGAAAAAAACTGATAAGTGATTTATTTTAACAGGGTAATTTTGTTTCCTCTAGCAACACTTTTCTGGCAAAGATTGCAGGAAATGTAATTATCCAATTGACTTCAAATTTTGTACAGAGATTCATTATAATGAGCTTTATGTCCTTAGATAAAAAGAATTAAATATATACAAATTTCCTAAAATTTGTAGGGAAAAGAAAAAAAAATTAAAATCAACATTTTTTTAAATGTATTTATCATGTTTAAAGTAAAAAAATCAATTGAAATATTTTCAAATACAAAAATAATTTTTTTAGCAGTCTACCACCTTAAAAGATACACTTTTTTTCCAAACAACTCCAAACCTATTTTCTCATATAAAAAGTTGCACATTTTGATGTTCTTCATTTGAAACGTTTACACTGCGTTCATGTTGATTATTTTTTATTATTATTAATTTTATATTACTTGTTGCTTGATTCGACGTCTTTGATAATTAGTTTAGTTTTAAATTAGCATTATTTGATAATTTTAAATATATATGCCACTACATTAATAGATTACAAAGGTTTCAATATTTTTGTTTACATACTCGCTTCTTTATTGCTTTTCAAGAAACCGCAGTAGTTAAAACGTTTGAAAGTATTCACAAAATGCAATGTGGTTTGGTTGCAAAAATTTATTTTGCCGCAAAATATTTTATTGGGAGTAAAAATTTCGTATAAAATTTGTACTGGGGAGAAAAAAAAAACGTTTATTAAAGTAAAAATCTCATACTACATCGCAAGGACCAGTAGCGTTTCCAATAAACGTACAATTTAGTTTTGTTTAACATTTTTTAAATAAAATAAAAATAACAATTTAGAAATAACCATAGGTACATAATATTTTTCTCTTTCAAAATTTATGTTCAAGCTTAACAAGCTAAAAGCTAAAGTAATTTTTTAAAAGAGATCCTTTTCGTTTTTTAAAAAGAGATCCTTTTTGTTTTTTAAAAAGAGATCCTTTTCATTTCTCGGAATTTCGTTTAAAACTTTTGGAATCGGCGCAAGTTTTACTTGAAAAAGAAAGTAGTACATTAAAAACTTGGCATTCACCATCATTCTTTATTATTTTTGAAATTTCAAAGTTGTGTTAATTTAATATTAAAACTTAAGCATTTAAAAAGTATGAATAAGTTATTTAGTCATTTCAAAACATTCTACAACCTTAAATCACTTAAAAATTTTAAATTCAAATCTACGATGCAAGCTGTTTTAGTAAAAGACTCGAAAATGTTTATAGAAAATGTGGAAAAAGTTAAACTAAAATTACCACAAGATATATTAGTTAAAGTTGAAGCCACTTCAATAAATCGTGCAGATATTCTCCAAAGGAAAGGTTTATATCCTCCTCCTAATGGCGAATCAAGGATATTGGGTTTAGAAGCATCCGGAGTAGTTGTTGAAACTGGAGATGGGTGCCAGAAATTCAGGTTTATATTATTTTTTTATATGCATGTTCATCAGTATAGATTAATTAAATATCTTTTCATTCAAAAATTTGAAATTGTTAGCTAGATTTTGCTAGAAATTGCTAGCTAGATACAACTTTAAGTCAACCAAATAAACCTAGTATAATTGATGTCCCTTTACTTAATCAAGTATGTACGTGATAATGAATTAACAAATTTTGTATTAGTGGAAAAGGACTTTTCTTACATTATTCTATAACGTCAGTGAAAAAATGCATTTATTAATAATAAGCAGAATATATAACACTCACCCTTCCTTTAAAATAATGAGTAAACATGAGGTTTATAGGGTAAACAAGGGTATAATGTAAGGTGGCTAACACCCTTCTATTTTTGTAAGAGAGCGCTGTTAAAATCTAAATTTTAATTAGGTTTGGTGCTGCGTTCTCCTACTTAAGAAGGAGGAAAGTGATCAGCTTATAATGGGGTACTTAAGAAAAAGTCAACAAAAAAGTGGCAAAAATACTTAAAATCAAAACAATTTTTTATAATGACAGAATACATCACAAAAAACTTCTATATATATATATATATATATATATATATATATATATATATATATATATATATATATATATATATATATATATATATATATATATATATATATATATATATATATATATATATATATATATATATATATATATATATATATATATATATATATATATATATATATATATATGTATATATGTATATATATATATATATATATATATATATATATATATATATATATATATATATATATATTTATAAATATACATATATATATATATATATATATATATATATATATATATATAAACATACATACATATATATATACATATATATATATATACATATATATACATATATATAAATATATATATATATATATATATTTATATATATATATATATATATATATATATATATATATATATATATATATATATATATATATATATATATATATATATATATATATATATATATATATATATATATATATATATATATGCAAGGCCGGCGCGATGGGGAGGGGGGTGACAATTGTAGATCCTTTTAACAAGTTAGTAAATTTTGACAGCCAGTGGGCAAATTTTGATAAGGTGGTTGGCAAATTTTGAAAAACGAGGACCTTTTTTTTTTTAGCTGGCAAAAATTGTAATGGCACTCCTAAAAATGTGACACCTACTCGTGCTGGCCTTGTATATATGTATATATATATATATATATATATATATATATATATATATATATATATATATATATATATATATATATATATATATGTATATATATATATATATATATATATATATATATATATATATATATATATATATATATATATATATATATGAATAAATTTAATTATTCATAGTAATATTACTAATGATAATAATAATAATACTGGATCAAACATCAAAAATTAATGTTGAAGCATCAACATTAATTTTTGATGTTTGAAATGTAAAAATTTCTAAACATTTATATGTTTATTCTTATCTAAAAGGGTGCTTTGCAAAAGATTGCATCAATCAAAGCCTGGGAAAAAATAAACCTTGAAGTTTTACCTCTCTTACCCTAAATGCAACAAATTTATAAGATGTTATACTAGATTTATAATCATTAAATTTCAAGTTTCTTTAAATAATCTTTAAATGTTTTACATGACCATATAAAAATTCCCTGTTTTTTAATTTGAGACCTTTACAAATTTTACATGGCCATATTTTTTTAAATTAATAAATATAGTTTGAAATCTATTAATTAATACAAATTTATTTAAGACAGACAAAAATTTTCATTAATTGCTTTATTTTTCAATTCATTGCTGTTGCATTTGGGGTAAGAAGTTAAAATTTTAATTTTTATTCCCAGGGTTTTAGCAAATATAACATAAGGGTATAAATATGATCAGAATAAATGTACATGTACCAAATAAACAGTTGTTTAAAGCCTATTTAATATATTGACTGATTAAATGACATCAATAACTCAGTGTTTTTGTTTAATAATTGACCACCATAACATATAAGTAATCTACTTTAATATTTAGGTGAATGAGGAGCCTAAAGCCATTAGTTTGTTGGAGTCTTTTGAGAGAAAATTTGAAATGATTAAATACGGGGATAAAATGAATTATTTTTTTCCCTGAGAATATTTATTGTTTTATTTTTATTTCTAAAAATCCCATTTATTTTGATAGAGGTAAGTTACACATTCCAACTCATGCATGGGTCTGATCCTGTTATCATAGAGCAACAGGTTAATTCATTGTTAGACATCTAAATCACCCTGGCTCCATTGCTAAAGTTATTTCTTGCTTAAAATTTTTTACAGTTTGTCGTGCTAAAATTCCTATCACATTTTTAGAAAGGTTTTATCAAATCTCTTCAATACTCATAAAAATGTTTAACATTTGCTTTACAATTACTTTTTACATTGGAATGAATGTCATGTTATCAATTTAAATAATCTTCGAATAGATAATTAATAAATTTTGGATCTGTGTTACAACCTTTGCTGACTTCTTTTAAGTATAACAGGTTTTAAACAACATTTGATACAGTATTAATGATGTTCCCCAATTAACATATATCCCAAATATCAAAACCTGCTGTTTTGAAAATGTAGATTGTCTTAGAAATCTGGCACGTATTACATTGTTCAAGGACTTTCACACTCACCAATTTAACTAGCAATAGCTGACTTGTATTCTATTTGTTTCAAACAAAACTACAACTTCTGTAACAACATCATCTAGTGTCCATAGATTGTTTCTGAATAGAGATAAATGTTCCTTGTGTCTCAACTCTATCCTTTTGATTTTGATTGGTTAATTTATGTATCCATTGTGATGTTTGTTCTTTTTTTAAGAGTGTTGTGATCAACACAATTGAACACAATTAATTGATGTCAATTGTATTATGTGTTGAATGTTTTTCTTCAGTAAAATTGTGCAGTTGCTTGGTATTTTCAGCTATATTCATACTTTTTAAGTTTTGTCAGTTTTTTTATACCTTTCTTAATATAACAATAATTAGATAAGTTAGTGTTTTGACTCGACCATTCAAGCTAAATACTTTCACTTTTAAACTTGATGAAAGGTTTAAGTTTTGTGGATGCTGCGAATTTCACAAATTTTTTTTAATAGTTGTGTTATTTTAATTGATATTCAGTTTTTTATATAGTTTATTCCTAAAAACTGTTGTATTTTATTTCATCAAAATTTGTCAATTTTTCAATTGTAATTAATCAATATTTGTCAATATATCATCATTTAACATTCTATAGAGAAAGATTTGTTGCTTATTCAACGTCTATCAACTTAATCCTCTATTATCAGTTGTTTCTCACTTTTAAATTTTAAATAAACTTTTAAAGCCTGCTTGTTAAAAGTTCTTGTAATTTCTTCATCAGAAGCTAGTGCATTTAGCACCAGCCTCTGATAAAGAATTTAATTTTTTGATGTCCACTTTAATTTCAAAGTTAAAAGATTTTAAATACTTTCCGGTTAAAAAACTTATTTTTAGAAGTATCTTTAAATAATTACATTTTATTAAACATTTACATTAAAGATCTAGTTAAATTTGTAAACATAGTCTATTGTTTTTTCTTTTAAAAATGTATTCTTTTATATATATATATATATATATATATATATATATATATATATATATATATATATATATATATATATATATATATATATATATATATATATATATATATATATATATATATATGCAGACCTAGGATGAGCGCCACTTAAATTGAACTCGCTCATGAGCGGCGCTCAAAACTTCTGAGCGAAGCGTGAGCGTGAGTGACTTCAAATTTAGATGAACATGAATTTTTGAACGCTTTTTTAATAGCGCTCAAAAATTACGCTCATTCTGCGCCTTCTAGCGGCCAAATATTGAACTAGTTAACATGGAGTTAACTCCATGTTGAAATGCGCCATCTAGCGGTCAAATATTTAACTTTATATTTAAAACAGCACATGTATGAAACCAGCCAGAGAAACTTCTTAATTTTAATACTGCAGTTAATGTTTAGCGTTGTTTCATTTTCATTTTTTAAAGTAGTTAGTTTAAAAACTTTTCTGAATTTAAAGAGCGAATATTGAGAAAATTATTAAAACTTTTTTATGAGCAGATTTGTGAGCGAATGAGCGGAGCACCCGCTCAAGAAATTTTATGAGCAGATTTGCAAGCGTCCGTTCATAAAAATAACATTATATTATTATTATTACTGTTATCATATAACATGTTATATTATTATTATTACTGTTATAGTATTATTATTACTGTTATTAACAAGCAATACTCCTGTTTAGCAGCATTTCTTAAAGTGCAAAGTAAACGAAACTGCTAAATGCAAAACCTGTAACGTCATTGTAACAATAAAAGGAGGTTGTACTAGTGTGATGCGAAAGCATTTAAAGATAAAACATAAAATAGAATTTCCATTATTACCTACTACAAAAGTAGTTCAAAGTTCATCCCAAAAAGATATCAGAAATTTTGTTCAAACAAAAGATACCATTGCCACTATATTAACAGATCTCATCACGATTGATGGACTTTCATTTAACACTGTTGCTAAAAGTAAGAGGTTACAAGAATTTGCTTTAGCCAATGGACACAAAATACCTGCAAGTTCAGTTTCTATTAGAAATATTTTACTAGCTCATGCCAAAGACATTAAGACTCAATTGGCGTCAGAATTAAAAGAAATGAAAGCTAACAATCTGAGATTTCGCTTAAATGTTGATGAATACACTTTAATTAAAACGCGTCATTATATGAATATTAATGTGCACACAAATGGAAGCCTTTTTAATCTTGGCCTTATACGTGTTGTTGGGAGTATGCCATCTGAATAAGCGGTTGAGATAGTGAGTGAAAGGTTTAGAGAATTTAAACTAGACTTTAATTATGATATTGTTAATACAACTACAG